AAACAGGTTTGTCCTGGAAAGAGTGAAGTCAGAATGCTCCTTGGAGTCGAGGATTCTGAAGCTTTGTCTGACATACTTTGGGCATGTTGCAAGGAGTGACTGGTCCTTGGAGAGGGACATCATGTGTGAAAGAGTGGAGGGATGGCGCAGGAGAGGAAGACCCTCTATGAGATGGATCGATTCAGTGAGGTGGGAATGAGTGCGTTGGAGACGGTGAGGTTGGCTCTAGTACATAGGGTTGCTATGAGTCGCAAGTGACTCAATGGCACATAACAAAAAACAACAACTGTGCCTTTGAGAGATTTTTTTTTCTTACAGCTGGAGGACAGCCCTGTGGCCTGGCCTACCTCATGTCCCAGCTTTTCTTTTCAGGAATGTTTTTCTGGCAGTGTTAAGTATTGTAAAGGCACCTAAGATGTTCCATCTAACCATTTTTACAGTGTAAAGACTCAGATTCCTGTGTAACACAGCTTATTCCATTCTTTTTTTTTTCCTTGTGTGCCATCAAGTCGGATCTGACTGGCACAGGAGGAGACTGCCCCTCCTTCTTCAGCGGAGCATCTAGTGGATTCGAACCACGTGCCTTCGAGATTAGCTTATTTCATTCTATCTACATCTTTATTCATTCTGCTGGTTCTCATTTTAGACCTTAAGTATACAAATATCTCCAGTTAGAAAGTACCCAAAAGTGGCCACTGAATTAACAAGCTGTCATTAGGGAGGTCAAACAAAACTCTAAACACAAACAAGAGCTAGATCCATATTTCTTGCCCATGTAATGAGCCAGAGTTCTATTAGGAAAATCAACTGCTTTCTTGGATCCAGCACATCTCATATTGAGTCCGTTCTGAATGCTACCATTCACCGAATTCAAAATAAATATTGGAGTTTGCATTAGCCACCAGGATAGCATTTCCAAAGTCAATAATTAAAAGCACAAATTTAAAACATAAACCTCAAAAGAGCTACTATGTAAGGAGCAGCATGCATATCCAGAGGTTGTTTTGTATTTTTTCCCACCTGAATGACCCATCCCCCACTCCACCCCACCTCACTCCCATCACCTTCCCTCCCACTGACACCTCCTGGAGAGAGAGCAGACCCGGAGGAGCCTAATCCATTCCATTTGGGACTGAAACTCAAAACCTGCAATAGATTTCAGGAACACAGAGGCTACATAGAGAATCCCATGGTTTTGATACCAGAAATGTAAAATAATTTCTGAGAATTAATGCAAAGTTAGAAATAATATTCTTACTTTTACTTGATGCCAAGTATTGGTTCATAGTTGACCTTCCAGCAAGTTTTCAGAGGCTGTAAATCACACAGGAGGAGATTGCCCATCTTTCTCCTGCTCAACTGTAGGTGGATTTGAACCCTCAGAAAGGCAGGACTGGCCTCTGGCTTAGCAGCATGATTCCCCACAGACTTTCCCACTGGAGAAGAATACTAGAGATTTTGGGGGGTTTAGTTCACTCAATAGCCCAAATTGTGAGTTCCAAAGAAATGTGGTAGCCCCAGGGTTAAAATAGAGGAGAAGAAAGAACAGTCCCAGAAGCTAGTTTTCAGAGGCTGATTAAAATGTCCTTTGTTCTCTGAAATATTAGTTGGCTTAAGAAGACAAATGTTATAGCTGGAGTGGTGGTGTCCAGGCCTGCTAAGCAGAGGCAGATAAGCAGGCATCTGTCTAGAATGCTTTCAAAGGGAGGAACTGTTGATTACACAGAAATGCACAGAAGCTAAGCACTAGTTCCCAAAGTAATATTATTTGTCATCTTAAACTTTTGTCCTGTGAAACCAGTTAGTAGTCATACTCTCCTGAAATGGCATAAAGGATTCTATGTTGGTTTTAGCATCTATTAAGAAATAGTAATAAGTTAGAAGAGAGAGAAAAACCATACATAGTAAAAAGTTAACAGCTCAGGTCAAAGTATTCACTGTACTGTTTTTGTAACTTTGACATGGAGACTCAAACTTTTCAAAATTAAAAATTTGTAAAACAAATATGGATTCTCCAGATCTGTGTGGCCTCCAAATTATTTTAACCACATCCTACAATAAAAAAAATGGCATAACAATCCAGTACACACATATCATTTGAACAAATGCACAGAAATAAATTTTCACAAAACAAAGCTTACCCTCATAGCATGTGGTACTCTGTGACTTTTCTACTCTATCATATATTTTTTAATGCTAAGTGTGACTCATTAGATTGACTACTAAAAATGCTTGCAACCCATTTGAAAACTCTATCCCTCAGTGCACTCTAGAAATATAGGGTGGAGGGACAGAGAAAGAGAGGAAGCCCATTGATGAGACAGATTGACTCAGTGGCTGAGGTAATAAGGGTAGGTGTGTCGGAGACAGTAAAGTTGGCCATTTTCAGGGCTATTATTGTACATAGGGACGGCATATAACAACAATAACAAACATAGGAACACAGCTCCCAGAATTCACATGGACTTTGAAAATCCTACCTTTTCAAATACAGAGAGGGAGGCTCAAATGCAGTCATCATTGCAAATCCTGAGAACTTGTGCATGTGGTTAGCAGACATACATGCTCCTGGTCTATCATGAATGTGGACCTGCTCAGGATGGTTCTGCTGCTGATTATAAGAGGTGGACATAGGAGGATACAGCTTGTTTCTGTGGCTAGTAACTCGTCCTAAAGCAGGCAGAATAGTCCAGCTCACTCATTCCCATGCAACCCTGAGAAAAGCTGGCTTGTTAAGCATCTGGCAGTCCTGCCTAGAGGTCATGTGCACTTGCTATAGGTACTGTTCCACCTGGCTCTGGTAATTCTGCTTGGGAGCATCCCGTGACCTGAGCAATCTTTCAGCCTCCTACCTCATTACTGGCCACCACCTTCTGTCTCAGTTGTTAGTAAGCCCCAAAATGTACACCCCCATAATGATTTCTGTGCCTAAGAGTGTCATCCATCTACTTTGACGAATGTAGTATCTCTGTCCTCTGGACAGTTTTCTCACAAGATACCGAGAAGGGAGATTGTGTGTCCTCTGTGGGAATGCACAATACTATGAACATCTGAGAAGCCCTAAAGTAGAGAAATCTGCTAAGGAGGGTTCTTGTTTTGCTTTGTTTTTTTTAGTCCTAGGATTTTATAAACTTATTTGTTAAGGAGGAAGCTCTAGTGGCTTGGTGGTAAGGAGTTGCTCTGCCAACCCAAAAGGATGAGGATCAAACCCACCAGGTGCTCCACAGGAGAAAGATAGGTAATCTCCTGCCACGGGAGTTACTGCCTCTGAAAACCTTCTGGAGGGTCAGCTACTAGTCAGTTTCCACTGCACAGCAATGAGAGTGAGACTTTTTCTCCAGAAGTTCTGGGCACCTAGTTCATGGGGAGTGGTGCTGCTAACTCAAAGGTCAGGCCTCTTTGATGGTTTAAATTCACTAACAGCTCTAAGAGCTTCTAAGAGCCCAGCGACAGGCAATCTTCTCTCCTGCAACTTACCACCTCACAAACCCAATGGAGAGTCAGCTATGAATCAATAGCATGAGTAAATAAAGCACATCTCAGACTCCAAAACTACCCCTGGCTCTAAGCCTTTTCTTACTTCCTATCCTGGCCTCCTTCTTGGACTCCAATGTCCCCATGCCCTTGGGGGGAGGGAGAAGAGAACTGTGGGCTTAGAGAGTTAGGTGGTCAGAGAAATAGAACTCAATAGATTGAGTCTAATTCAGGCCATTGCAGGCACTGTTGCCTGGATGTGGGGGTGGGTCGTGTAGCCCTTGTTCTTAGGTATCTTCATGCCCTAGGAGCTGGCAATCTCTAACTTTACTATGTTCAATCTCATTTTTCTTTTTTCAACTGATGCCTTTATGACATAGGCAGAAATCCGTAACCTTCCTCCTCCCCTGCCTGGCATTCATGTTCCAGGGTTCTTCTCTTCCCAGGGCTAGCTGGAGGCAAGCTCTTCCTTCTATCCCCCTGGCATCCTTAAGCCTTGCCTACCCTCAAACCCACACTTTCTCCTACTGGCCAAGGAAGGCAGTGTGGACCACTGCAGTGTGTCAGGGCTAGTTCATACACAGGCCGAACACCGCGTGCTGGGCCATACTGAGTAGGAGGCAAGCGCTGCAGAGAATTGTGGTGTCAAATCCCAAGCATCCCATCCCACGGGAAGGAAGGCTGCTAGACAATGAGGCATTGGCTAGCACCTCTGTGGTGTTAACTCCCTCCTCCACTGGAACCCTCGGGGCCAGCAGCTTGGAAAGGAGGCTGTTGAACCTGCTCGCAGTGGTGGCCACAGGCTCCGGGGAAAGCCCTGGGCTGTACGCAGTGAGGTTCAGCTCCTCAGGGTCCACACAGAAGCCGTCAGAGGAGCGCTCAAAGGCCACCTCGCTGAAGTCTAGACCCGCCACGGAGCCCGGGGAAGCGCATGGCACATCAGCGACATGTCCAGAGCTCTCCATCCAGTCTCGCAGCCACTCCAGGCGGCAGTCACAGCGCCACTGGTTCCGGAAGAGGAAGAGGTGGCCCAGAAAGAAGCCAGGCTGGAAGGCGGCCCAAGCGAGTGCAGTGAGGCGGTTGCTGTTGAGGTGCAGAGCCAGAAGGCCTGAGAGGTTCTGGAAAGCGCCCTCCTCCACGAAGGTGATGCTATTGCGGTCCAGGTAGAGCAGCTCAAGCTCCGTCAGATCTGTGAACCAGGCCCGCACCACTCGGCCTAGGGAATTGCCGCCTAGGTTGAGTGTGCGCAGGTGGTGCAGGCCATGGAAGGCGTCTGCAGGCAGTGCAGCCAGCAGGTTGTCATTGAGCAGCAGGTGCTCCAGTTCACCGCAGTCACGAAAGGCACCTGCGTGCACTGTACGGACGTGATTGTACTGTAGATTGAGAGAGCGCAGACGCAGCAGACCCTGCAACGAACTGGAGGCCACAGCCTCGATGCGGCTGCGCTCCAGGTGCGCATGCGTCAGGTTGACCAAGCCGCGCAGCGCGCCGGGCACACGACGGAACAGGTTGTCAAAGGCAGCGACCTCCCGCAGGGCAGGAAGGTCGGCCAGGAGGCGCTCAGGCACGCTGAAGAGGCGGCAGGCGGCTAGGTCGAGGCGGCGCAAGCGGCCGAGCGTGGCAAAGGTGCGCGCATGCAAGTAGCGAAGGTCGCCGTTGTGGGCCAAGCGCAGTTCTGCCAGCTGCGGCAGGCCTTTGAAGGCGCCGGGCGTGATGAACGACAGGTTGTTATGGCGCAGAGACAGACGGCGCAGAGACGGCAGTGTGCCAAAGGCCCGCTCGCCCAGGAAGCGCAGGCTGTTTCGGTCGAGATCGATGGAGGCTACCTCACAGGGAAACTCAGCAGGCACCCGAAGGAGGCCTGCATGGTCACAGCGCACTGTGCAGCCTCGCTCGGACCCGCTGCAGACGCAGGCAGCAGGACAGGCGCGCACACAGGCTTCCACAGCCCAGGCGTTGGGCAGGCTCAACACCATTGCTAGGGGGCAGGAAAAAAAGAACAGTGGTCAAAGAAAGGTCGTTCCAAATAAAATCCCACCTGATATGAGGCAGAACACATTATCTTCCACCACACCTTAACTGACCTCTGACTTATTCAGGGCCACCTGTCCTCCACATGCCCTCTTCCAACTTCCTGGGCTTTACACAGGTTTGCCCACCTAAAATGCCCTTCTCTTTATATTCCAGACATCTTCATCAACAAAACCCAGACTTAATCAGGATATCTGCCCCCATTTTAAACTCTCTCATGACTGTATCTTCACTCAAAGTGTATAGGCTTAGGATTGTCTTTCAAGGGATTTTTAAGGAAAGTGGTAATCTTTTAGAAGCAAATTGCCAAGCTATACTACCTAGGTACCTCTGGATGAACTTTAACTGCCAAACTTCTGATTAGTAATCCAATACTTAACCATTTATATCTCAGAGACTCTTAGAATGAGGTCCAGGGCAGTTTTTTGTTTGCCTGTAGTCCTAGGTTGTCCAATATACTGGCCACGAGCCACATATGGCTACTAACAGTTTGAAAATGTAGCTATTCCTAATTTAGATTGTTACTGAACACAAGGGGCTCTTTCCGTAGTCAATTGCCAATAAGACAAACAGATTGCAATATCCACAAACACTTTATTATGCAGATCTGGGAGACAGCAAGTCACCTCCAAGACTGCCTCCTCCTTTGGTAATCATCACTGGGTTTTATCCTAGGGTGAAACACCAACCCACTTAATAATAAACTTTTGTTAGTAAAATAAAAGAATTTCTATATCTGAAAGAAAATCATTCACACCCAGATATTCCCTTCCCAGCCAAACAGGCAGATTAAGGTACAATTTATATATGATTAGGGAAAACAGCTTCAAAGAGATAACAGCTAATCTAGGAGATGCATCTCCTCTTCTGATAAACAGACAGATCAAAAAAAGGACACTAAGAACTCCAAGATCAAGCAACCAGTCCCGCAGGCTGGAGAAAACTAACTATATAGTTTTATAATTGATACCAATATAGAGAATTCTGAACTTATTAATACCACCCTACCATTCCCCCCTCTTTTTATATGTCTGGGTTGATTCTTGGGGAAGTTATTTGTGGGTTCCCCATTTGGGAATAGGGGCGCAGACTCTCTGGCTACTTCATGCTGAACTGGGACGTTGAGGTGGAGGGGAAGGGGAGCCCACTTTAACTCTTCATTGGTGGTCTTGAGTTCAAGCTGTATGCCTTCTTGTTCAGTTAGAAAATATTCTCATGGCGTTCTCTGACCTCTGGACTACAAGATCTCTAGTAAACAGGGAGTGCAGACATAAATTAGAAGACAAACATCAGGAAGCAAAGGAGTGTTACAGGCTGCTGTTTACTTTCCCTACCTCACATGATTTAATAAATCAGTAATACTTCAGTGGCATTACTATACAAGTAACTATGCTGATGCTGCACTGTTCTAAATTTACTAATTTTTAGCTGTTGAACTTTCCTATTATGATTAAAGGCTCAAGTTCTGCTCCACTAATTTTAGGTTACATGAAACGTTCTTTATCAACTGTACACATAAAACAAACAAAGAAAATTGAGGGTGAGTGAGTACTTTTTGACTTGTGAGGTTGAGTCCAGTGGAAGTGGATGGCAGTTTTATCTTTGGAGCAAGGCTCAGGGTCTGAAACAAACCTCAGTGTTCAAGTTACCTATAGGAAAGGGAGCAAACCTAGAGAGAACAAGCTTGTGAGTTACTAGAGGAAATGGAGGAAGGTGGCTTAGATAAAGTTTCTCACACACAATTTCATGGGCTTAATTTAAGCCTTGGGAGATACAGAGGAATTTAAAGAAATAACATATGAGCAAGAGCCTATGGTGATGAAGGAAGAAGTTCAAGCTGCTTTGAAGGAAATAGCAAAAAATAAGGCCCCAGGAATAGATGGTATACCAATTGAAGTATTTCAGATAACAGATGTTGCCCTGGATGTGCTCACCAAGTTGTGCCAAGAAATCTGGAGAACAACCACTTGGCCAACTGACTGGAAGAGATCTATATTTGTTCCCATTCCAAAGAAAGGTGACCCAACTGAGTGTGGAAACTACAGAACAGTGTCATTGATTTCACATGCAAGCAAGATTCTACTGGATGACGAAGAGATTGAGAGTGTTCACAGCTTCAGTTCCACAGTCAACACTCTTGGTACCAGCAGTCAGGAAATCAAAAAGCGTATCGTGATGGGAAAGTCTGCTGTTAGGGACCTCTCAAAGGTACTCAGGAGCAACAGTGTCTCTCTGGAGATTAAGGTGCGCCTGATACAGGTCATGGTGTTTGCAATCGCTTGTTATGCATCAGAGAGTTGGACAATGATTAGGGAGGACAGAAGGAGAGTGGATGCTTTTGAGCTGTGGTGCTGGAGAAGGGTATTGAATGTACCATGGACTGCCAGGAAAACAAACAGATTCATCTTGGAGAGGATTAAACCAAGCTACTCCTTGGAGGCAAGGATTCTGGGGCTTCGTCTGACATACTTTGGACATGTTGCCAAGAGGGACGGGTCCTTGGAGAGGGACATCATGCTCGGGAGGGTGGAGGGACAGTGCAGGAGGGGAAGACCCTCTATGAGATGGATTGATTTGGTGACTGGGGTAATCGGGATGGGTGTGTCAGAGGCGGTGCGGTTGGCGCAGGATAGAGCAGGGTTTAGGGCTGTTGTGCATAGGGTCGCTATGAGTCGGAAACGACTCGACAGCACATAACAACAACAACAATAATTTAAGCCTTCTTCTGGTGCTACTTTAATTCAGAGCAAGGCCAAAGCAACCTCTGATTATACTAGAGATGGGTTTCCTGACAGGGCTCGGTTATCGACTTTATCTTACTCAGATACCCTGGTGACGAGTTCCCTCCTGGCTTCAGACTCTATCCCAATATGCTTTTGGAAGGAGGTGGAAGCCCATCCTGGTCCAAGTCTTTTCAGGACCCTGACGCTGCACCTAGTCCAGGAATCCTGTCCTGGGAGCAGCCGCTCCTGCTGGGCAGTAGGACTGATTGGGCCTCTCTCTCCGTTGCAGTCTACCTGTTGCTCCAAGAGGCCACATGGTGGGAGCTCAGGACTCCCCATCAATGGCCCAATATTTTATCGGTCTCTCTTACTGGACCACTGGGATGAGAATGTCCATCCATGAGTCTAAGGGGCTGCGGGAGTCTGGTAGGTCCTCTGGCGTATGCTCAGGCTATATTTCCAAAGACAGCATTATCTGGAGGTGTCTGACATTCTCGGTTGTTGGATACCTTGGGTGTGATGTTGACCATGCTGAGTTGAGTTTGTGCCAATGGCTCAGTCCATCTTTTGTAGTCTCCTCCTAATGTCAGGGATGCTCTGGGAAACAATAGTCAGGTTAATCATTCAGACTCCAGAAGAGTTTTCTGAGTCTAGATCCGCATACTTAAAGAAAGCTTGATGCAGCCTTTCAAAAACAGGAAAGGATTTCTATTTGGTTGCTGCAGAATGGCTCCGTTCAATTTCAGGCCTGGAGCTTCCCTTTTTCTTCTTGGCCTTTCTACTGTGCTTTTTATGTTCCGTCTGCCATAGGCTTCTGCCATCTGGATATGAATTAGGCTTAGCGAAGCAATTGTTTTCAAATAATCTCCATGAAGGCAAGCTGCTACTAATCATCTCTTCTCACCAGTCAGAACTGGGTTAAAAAAAAAATTGAATCTACTCACTTGGCAAAGAAAATAGTCATTAATAATCACCTTCATAGAAGAGTCTGAAATTTTTATTTATTTTTTTTCCTTCTCACTTTGACTGATTTGAGGCAGAGAAAGGGGAAAGAAAAAAAAAAACGTTCTTCATAAGATCTTTGGGTTGCTTGCCCATATAGACTATAGAGTCTCTGGAAACTACTTGAGTGGGTATTGTTTGACCTTGTTCTGAGTAGCCCTGGCCAAAGGATATGAGGTGAAAAGGAAAAAAAAAAATCTAAGCCGTTTTTCTTTAGTTCTCCTGGCGAATAGCACTTACTTTAGGTTTTTACTATTAAGTATCACTGGTGTATCAAAAAAACAAACAAAAAAACCCCCCACTGGCTTGATTTGAAAATCTACATCTTCTTTCTTTTGCCATCATTGAGCAAGTGCCTCTTACATTCTCCTTTTTATAGTATAGAATATTAAAGGCCGATGTATACAGATTTTACTCAATTTCCTTGACCTCTGGTGAAATATTACTTGCTGAGTAACTTAAAGATCTGTACAAAGTCTACTTTTTCTTTGTACTATAACTTAAATAACATAAAAAGGTAAAATTTCTATTGAAATAAAAAACATTCATTTGGCTAATATTAGCAAGCAGGCCAATTACACAGAATTCTTTTCGAACAGATTTTTTACCAGAATGGAAACTTTCGTTCTTACTTTTGAGCAATGATCTAAAATGAAATGAACTAAAGAACAGTATTAATACATGTGCAATCCTTAGATGTGATACAGGTACACAATTATTAGATACAATAACAATACAGCTTTTGATCAGATACAGCAAAAGTTTTACTCATCAAATACAACTTTTGCTTATCAGATACAGCACAAATTTTACTTATCAAATATAACTCACTCATCAGATACAGCACAAGTTTTACTTATTAAATATAACTTTCACTCATTAGATGCTGCACAAATTTTACTTATCAAATATAACTTTCAGCAGATACAGCACAAATTTTACTTAGCACAGGTTTTACTCATCAAATATAACTTTCACACATCAGATACAGCACAAGTTTTACTTATTAAATATAATTTCACGCATCAGATACAGCACAAGTTTAACTCATTAAATATAATATTCACTCACTAAATATAATGCAACTTCAATCAGCTCTGATACAAGCAGGCATCAATCAAAGTGCTAAAAAGAACGAAGAGCAGAGAACTTCTGCTTCTGATCCTATAAAACGAAGAATGGAAAGCTTCCGCTTCTATTCCTATAGTTTCCTGTCTAAA